TTTTTTAATTTTAATATTAATTTTTATTACTAATCTTTGATAATAGGAAAAAATTATTATTTTTTAACCATAAATTATTTTTTCCTTTTATTTTTTTATATTGTTTCAATATTAATTAAATAATATTTATGTTCTTTATTTAATTTAAATATTTGTTTATTTTTATTATTAATTTTGATAATAGGGAAAAAATTTCCTTTTTTATTAATTTTTTAACCTAAATTATTTTTTCCTTTTATTTTGGTATGTTGTTTTTAATTAAACACTATTTATATTCATTATTTAATTTTCATAATTTTAACTTTAATGTTAATTTAAATTTTTATTATTAATTTTTTATAATAGGGAAAAAATTTATTTTTTATTCATTTTTAACCTAAATTATTTTTTCTTTTATTTTTGCATGTTGTTTCAATTTTAATTAAATAATATTTATATTCATTTTGTAATTTTTATAATATTTTAAAATTTGAATTACTATTTCTTAACTTAAAAATATTAACAAAAAAAATATAATGTATATATAAAAAATAACAAAAAAATTATAAAAACATAAAATAAATTAAACAAAACGTAAATGAAAAATTAAATAAAGAATAAAAATATAATTTTAAATTAAAATTTTAAATTATTAGTCAATGTAAAAGGAAAAAAAGTGGGCTAACTGTTAAAGTTGGCCCGCTAACAGTCAACCCACTGACTGTTTAACAGTCAGTTGAAAGAGTGTTAACAGTCGGCCCGTCAGTTGAACGACTGTTAACAGTCTGGGCCGACTGTTAACAGTCAGCCTAGACTGTTTTCCGGTTAACAGCCGTCTGTTTAACAGTCAGTCATTTTTTTCATCGTAGATCGCCATTTCTGATGAGAAAAACTCATTTTCACCCACAAAAAATCTAAATCGACTCATATAATCAACAATCTATCCTAAATAGCGAACAATAAATTAAAAAATATTAAGTTTAATGTTCACACCTTTATATTAATAATAAAAAATCATAATAAGATCAACTAACAACCCAAAACACAAGAAGAAGAAGTTCGTCAACGACTTGGCTATTGGTGACGGTGTTGATTGGTGACCGATCTCCGATCGATGAGATCTGATTGTGGTGAGGTTTTTTTTCTTTCATTTTTTTTTTTAAACGTGTTAGTCATTTTTTGGCATAAGAAGACAAATGAAAAGTAAAAGAGAAGGAGGGTATTTTTGGGTTTTGATCTTTAAATTCAATTTTTTATCTATTTAATTTTTTTTTTTTTTTTAATAAAAGCGGTCAAAGGTCACTTTGAAAATACTTATGAGCTAGGGAGTCATTTCCAATGATTTCCTCTATTTTGTCAAGGGAAATTGGCAGTTATTAGCACTTGGGTCTCATTTTCATTTTTTTGACACTTGAACCCTCAAACACAGACAATAGGTGCAGTTTGGGTCCTTGGTGAATGGTAATGGTTCATTTGAGGTGCAGATTCAGGATCGGACTAAAAGAATTTTTAAGCCGAGCTAATAAGTTAAAAAAAAAATTACACTTTCGTATGTAAAAAAAAAAAAAAAACAAAAATAACCCATTGAAAATTCAAATGAGCTAGAAGGGGGCTGTGTCCACCCTAAATCTGCCCTCGATTCATTCTACCATCAAATTCCAAGTTGCAATGCATGCGAGATAAATTATAAGGTCCTTCTTTCATTTTCCCTCTATGTTATTGTGCGAGGCAACCCTCTAAATACTTAATTTGGAATCTTCAGTAATCAAGAAGGCCAAGGAGAACTTGAAAAAGAAAAAAGAAAAAAAAAAGAGTAGTGATTTAATGGACTACAAACGTGAAGAAAGAAAATTAGGTTTGTGAGAGGGAAAATGGAAGAATGACGAAAATACCCTTATAATTAGCTCGTACGTTATATCGATAACTTCAGAGCAAAATGGACGGTAACAATCCACTCAAGAGTGATTCTTTCCAATTCGATCAACTTCCTAATGTGGGCAAATTTGGTCAATGAGATGTAGAATAGTACTTCGTGATCCATTATGATCAGAATTTAGATGGTGTCCATCTCGTCTTGCTTCTCTTTAAAGAAATTGATAGACTTCTTGAAGATCGTAGTAACTCCTTATTCGAGAGGAGCTTTTCTTATAAGCCTAGTAGCACGGTTGAGTTTAATTTGTATTAGTGGTTCCTCTATAAGAAAGTTTCCTAGAGGACTTGAAAGCAAACTCTCTCTAGATACATCAATTAAATTATGAATTCTTTTGGAGATATGTTTTTACACTTCTTGTAACGACTCGCCAGGTCATCAACATAGGCTGCACTTCGAGGTGTCGAAGCGCCAAAGCAATATACCAACATAAAGCAAGGCAAAATCTGAAGTGCATAGCATCGGTGCGATCAAATTGGAGCTGCAATGTCTAGAACATATGCTCGTTGATTAGAGTCCAGCTTAGGCATAAGATACGGATCTTTTAGGCAAGAATCTGTCCAAAATGAAATCTTATAAATGATGGACGTAACATCTCTGTAGCAGGTGCCAATGTGTCAATTTGAATCAGAAACATTAAATGCCCGCTCACCTATAGAGTGATAGATGGATTTCTATGAAGAGAGACTTCGGACAGATGGATTTCTATGAAGAGAGACTTCGGACCTGCAGATGAAGCCACATGTTCTTTGTCCAACGATTCTTCTTCCACCTCTCTCTATAAACACCCGCGTTCTAAGCCTTTTTAAGGTAGCTTCATATCTCTAAGTTACTACTACTCCCTCTTTAGATAATATAAAAAGTCCGACGATCTTTGCTATCGAAATTAGTTGTGTGTAAATTATCGTCGATTCACTTGATCGTCGGAGTGTTCGTGGCGGCAACCTTAGTGTAGGGAATGGCCACAAACTACTGATTGTTTGTGACAAGTGTACAAGGAAGAATATATGTGAAGTTGCTCTCTGTTGGCCGGGTAGATTCACGTGTCTTACAACTAGGAGACAGTTTAGAATTATTTTCTATGTATCAACCTAATATTAAGCCCTGCCCTTATTTGATTATCATCATTTTTAAAATATATTTTTCTTTATTCTTTTCAGTCATACATTTTTCAATAAAATAATACTACATGCAAATTTAATTTTTTTTTTATCACACTTTCTTTACCAATTTAATATTCCAAAATGCATTCTTAAATAAAAATAGGACTAAACCGAAAGTTAAAAAAAAATAAAAATAAAAGAATAATTATCCCTCATAGCTCCACCCCTGCTTACGAACCACGTAGTCATTGATATTTGGGGGCGGAAGTAAGTTGTTTACCAAGTGTTCTCATTGTCTGTGTTTTAGGATCCAAGTGCTACTGAAGTATCTGTTTGGGAACCCTATCTGCCAATTTCACATACATTTTCCATTTTTTTTATTGTCCCAAATTATTGATTACTTTTCTTGTTAAGAGTGTTTTTGATTTTTTAATTTTCTAATACCCCTTATTTAAATTATTATTCATTGTTGAGGTAAAGTGTAAGTAAAATTATTATTTAGTCTTATTTGTAAGTAAAATCATTATTTAGTCTTATTAGGAAAAATGTAAGTGAAATTTATTGTTTCTTTAATCAGTTTGAAAGTTGAAGTAGGCATATCTTTGTGGGATGGAGAGAATACTAATGCTGTGTATGGCTTGATCGGTGGGACAAGTTGAATAATAAAGGGCCAAGTAATTGGGATTACGTAGGCTGAGAGCGTGAATAGGACTTTCCTATGGTGGAACAATTAATACATTCCAAAATATCCCCGACCCAATTTATTGAGGTAATGAATAAGATAATGATATCTAACACTAATGGCGTTGAACACCAGTTTAGGTGTTAGCGTATTGTATATCATATTAAATGGATCATAATTTCTTTTATTTCATTGAATTTGTAATTTAATGTCACTAATAATATTAATTAAATTGGTGTTAAATATCGTTCTAAATTCACCTAATGATATTTATTTTCATAAATTCGTTTGAACCTTTTTATATTATTTTGAAATTTTTGTTTAATTAAAATCATAAAAATAATAAAATATCATCTTATAAAACCCTTATATTATAATCATAAAATATCATTTTCAATTGAAAATAAAATAACAATGGAAGGATTACTATTAGTGGAAAAACAACACATTATTTTAATTATAATTTTTTCATGATATGAAAAATGAAATCTTATTTTTTATACTTTGTTTTAAGTATTGATTTAACAGATAAAAGTATACAAGAATTTCAAAATAAATTTCAATACCTATCCAAATATTATTACATTACAAAAGAAAACAAACTTAAAATTACCAATAAAAACACAAACAACCAAAATTATTAGCTTATAAGCAAAAAATAATAATTAATTAACATATAATCTGAGGAAGGATTTGTTTGATTCGCGAGAGCAGTGTACTTTTGAGAGATTTCAATAAATTTAAGAAATAGATTCGCTAACCTTTGCAACTAAGCCCCCGTTTGGTGCACATTATTTGGGAAAATAATACATTTTTTCCATCAAATCAGTCTACAATTTTTGACTTCAACACTCTAAGGTAGGACCCATGATGTGATGTTTAAAATACATTTTTATTGAAAAAATGAGGAACAAACGGGCTCTAAATATTAAAGAACCCATATTGCAATATAAAAAAGGATAAGTAAGAATCAGATTAGATGTTGATACTTGATAGTGATTCGATGAATATAGTGATTTTTTTAAATTTTCAAATTATATTAAGGATGTATTTAAAGTAAGATGAATATATAAAATTTGTGTGGATTTATAATGTTTAAACAAATGAATTTAATAAAGACAATATGAAAATTTGACATTGACGAAAATAGTAATTTTTTAAAATTTTAAAATTTTAATAGAGATGTATATATTGTGGAATGAATGTATAAAATTGTGATCCTAAATAGTGGGACCCAAAAATAATCGTATGCCTTCTTGAGTTCTTTTTAGACGGTTGAGTTCTTAATCGCGCATCTTTCAAAAGAATATCGCTTTTCAAAAATATTATTTCCAAAAAAAAATTACATCTTTTAATTTGCTTTTATTACGCAGTGGACAATTTATTGGTTTCTACTCTGTACAATCACAGGAAGGGAGATTGATTCTTGAGCTTCACCACACAGGCGCTCTCCAGATATTCCGCAAAGAGTGATTTGCAATTCACTCCCGTCATCAGAAAAGTACAACTTCCATTTCTGCGATTATCATTTCAATTCGGGTTTATTCATCTAGATTCCCTTTTTTAATTCTAGACTAAGAGAAATGGTGAGGTTTTCTGTGGGTGGATCAGAAGGCGAAGAAGATAGGGAATCCAATAACAGAAAAAGACCCGTCTCAGAGAATTGCCGAACCTACATCAACGGTGGATATCAAGACATAGACGAACATGGATCATACTCAATTAGATTGTCCAACAATAAACCTCGACCCTCTATGACCTTCACCAAGAAGCCTCGATTCGCCATCCCCAGCCCCAGTCTTAGCCCCACCCCCAAGGCGGCCGCATGCGCCACAACCTCTGCTGCTTCTCAGCAAAGATGTAAAATACTTGAATATAGACTATTTGGTAGAATCAATGACGGCGAAGAAGAAGAAGAAGATGACGATGAGCATGATGGTGATGAAGAAGAAGAAGAAGAAGAAGAAGAAGAAGAAGAAGAAGAACCTATGGAGGAAATGGAAGAAGAAGCACATGAGTCTTCAGATAAAGAAGATAAAACAGATGGGCAGCTTTCTGTGATATTATCGGACCCTGAGGTGCTTGATTGCCTCATTTGTTTTGAACCCCTCACGCTTCCCGTCTTCCAGGTTTTCCTCTTATTTTCTCATCTTTATTTCGTTTGTGTTGTTATCTTTGAGCGTGTCTTTGACTTTCTAATTAGTGTAATTTTCTTGTTAATTTTTACATGATTCTGTGCTGAATGGTCACTTGGCACGTATTTAGTTGAAAAAACCATAGAGGGTTATTATTATTTTTTGGATTGCCATATGAGATCATTTCAGTAGAGAGCCTTTGTATATTTTGCCTGTTTTGACCAAGTGAATGTGTTATTTTTCCTGCCACGAGCATCTACTATTTGAATTTTTGTACAACATTTGACATTGTATCAGTTGCAAAAATTTGGCTGTACTACCTAAGAACGGACCAGGATAGACGTGTGGGAAGCCCAAAGGGTTATTATTTTAGTTGGTGTTCAATAATTAGAGCATAGGAGTGTGTATTTTAAATTTGTAGATCATTTGGTATCTGTTTATAAGGAGTTAATCATTTGAGAAATAAACATACAGAAACTGGTATACATTGCCTGTTTGTAAATGAGGCGAGTTTCTCTTGAAGTGACTCAGGCGTGAAGCTTCTGAAAGCTTAATTTTCTATACTTTGAATTCAACTGATTCTTGATTTTGAATATCTATTTGCACCAACTTGAACTAGGGTTCACGCTCAACCTCGCACACTTATGTAAGGAGATTTTTTTGCTTCCCTATACACATATATGTACTTGTACGTTGATACTAATTGATTTTATGATTTAACTTTTAAGTAGACACTTGTTTTAAACTTGGAGATAAAAACATTAAAAATTTGATTTTACTTATAATGTTGCTTATATAATTAAATTACGAGCGTTTAAGAACAAATGTGTAAAATTTGTCATTGCTTGACAAGAACGTTGCACTATACAATTGTGTCAAGTGTTGTTGCAAGGAGTATTTAATACACTTTTCATGAAACAGGTTCTTAACCAGTTGGTTCCCTTGAGAACCTATTGTGGCTGCAAAAGAAAAGGAGTAGAAAAAGGAAAGAGGACATCTTTTAGCAAAGAAAAAAGAAATACATGCATCTTAAGTTGAAATATTCAGCTGCAGTTATTAAGTTCAGAACCTGTTTGACAATTTCTTGCTTCCATTTTCTGTATGTTGGTGTTTCAAAGAGTGATTTGAAAATTTGTGATTTGGCATTTTGAAATGATGAAGCTCTATTTTGGGAGTCTGTCAGAAAAGTGAAAAGATATGACGCTGTACTTGTCATTCGAAATAAATTATGGTGTAGACTAAGTCTACCATCGTGATAATCCATATTGATAAGCCTGGAATATCCCACACATTTTTTAATGTCTGGAAAATAATGGAGAATGATTTCATTTTTGAATAGTAAAGACATTTTCCTGTCAATATACTAACAAACGACATCTTTCCATCTGCAGTATTGCCATCACTCAAATTCGTGTCCCGTTGCCTCGTTCGCATCTGTGAAATACCTACCAATGTTTCAAATTGGCCATTAGACCCTTAAAATCCCCATCAACCCATAAATATAAGACGCATGACCTGATTGGGCTTCCATGGCAGGTGAAACAAGGTAATTGCAGAATAGGTGAAGTAGAAGGTGGCGATGACAACAATGGAGTGATGCTTGGTGGCAGCAAAAGATTGTTGGAGAAGTCGGAAGATATTATTAAGTTATCAGGGAGAAATTGTTATCCTAAAATGACCTTAATACTTCAATCATAAATTAACAGAAGTTATTATGACTAATTAGTCATGCTTACAACCAGGTTATAGTATTGAATAGCAACAACTTTCTAGTTTTTGTCGATCTCCTGTGCATTTGATAGATCATTAATGTCTTCCTATTTATCTTGACTAGCTTACTTACAATTGTTTTTCCATGATTATTTCAATATGTTTGTCATTGTACCTGGCTCTTGAAGCTAGTGTATTGAATAGGTTCTTCTTACAATTTCGCAATATCACTCCACTAATATGAGAAATGGGCTGGGATACGCGACGCAAAAAGTCAGCTGGCTTAAACGTCTGTATGTTAGACTTGATATCTTTGCATTTGTATTTGTTCATTGATGGAGGCATACGTAACATGTAATCTTGAACAAAGAGTAAGTTGGTGCACTGCTTATGCAAGGGGTGTAAGGTGCACTTTGTTTGGCAACATCAGAATTGTCCCTTGTTCTTTATGTTATTAAGAAACAACATATTTACTTTCAAGCTTTGGAACAACGGTACGGAGAAAACTGTTCTAATGTGTTTCATTTTTCTGAATTTTAATCTAGTGTGAGAATGGGCATATAGCATGTGCACCCTGCTGTACCAAGATGTTAAACAGATGTGGAAATTGCTCTTTGCCTATTGGTTACAACCGTTGCAGAGCCATCGAAAAGGTTGTTGAATCAGTCAAAATCTCTTGTCAAAATGCTGGTTATGGCTGCAAACTGAAGATAAGTTACAGTTATAAACTTGATCATGAGAGAGCGTGCATTTATATGCCTTGCTCATGTCCCCATCTTGCCTGCAACTATGTTGGCTCCTTTGAAGCCTTGTATACACACTCTGAGATAAATCATTCAAATTGTTCACAGCGATTTCATTTCAGTTTTACCGTCTCCATTTCCTTGGACAAAAATCAGGAACAACTCTTTCTTCAAGATAAGACTGAAAGGACACTTTTTGTCCTTAATCGCTCTATCGATCGTCTTGGAAGTTTATTTAATGTTGTTTGTATTGGACCAACTTCAGCGAAGAGAAGATACTCTTATACTATTACAGCAAAAGATGGTAGAGAGAGCTCAATCAAACTAGAGTCAGTTGCAGATAACATGCCAAAATGGATTACACACCCTCCTGGGAAAAAATATCTTCTGGTTCCGAATGATTTTGTTGGTTCTAGTGGTAGGCTCAACTTGGAAGTTATTATATGGCATCCCGATGAATCTCCCGTGGCAAACTCATAATGTTGTTCTGGCCCCAAAGTAATCAAAGATGTTGATGGATCTAAATTCACTTGTTATGTTCTAATAATCGACTGTAACTGTAGTTAAATGCTATATGTATTTGTGGATCTTCATGTTATTATTACTGGTTGAATTGGTTTAGCTTGTGATTATGCCCTCTTTTATGTCTAATAATGCTTGATAGTCTGAGAAATTATTTGCTGCTAAAGTTTACATAGGCAGTAGATGATGCTTCTTTGTCTAGGTTATTTTTGGGCCTGAAATATTGAATCAATTACAGCACCACAGGACTGTTCAATTGTAAAAATTGTAGACTTTTTATGGACCTCATGTAGTTCTTTTGGATGTTTATGTTTTCAGGCTTGAAATCAAGGACTTGACAGTCCCCTCAATTTCTCTTCATTCTGATCGTTTTCTTTATGAGGTCCCTGTTTCGATGACTTGAGCCTCGAGGAATATTATTGCTGTTAATGAAATGTCTGCGGAACGTAATATTTTGATGACACATAATTTTGATGTAAAATCGTATTTGTGAAAGTATTAAGCGCCTGAATGTTCGGATGCATTTTATTCGAGATAATATTTGAATAGAAACCATGTCTTGAGAAATATCATTTTGTATAATGAAAATTTATTGGATTGTGATGCCAAACAAGTCTCGTGGCAATCATGAGCCTTTCGGCGCTTGTTTGTCTCCCAATTTGGAAGAAAATATAGAGTTTTGAATAGTAGTTTTTGGAGAATGTGTGGTTGAAATTTTTTAAAAAAAATTATTGATTTGTATATAGAATATTTTATTGTGTAAATGTGTGATGAACAATGTTACTGTGGTGAACAATTTCTTTTGTTAAAGGATGACAAATATGGGCTTCGTTGCCTTTAGGCTGAAATCTCACAAGATCCGCCAAAATCATCATTATGTTTTCAACAGACATCTCTCATCTTTTAAGCACTCTCTCTTTCTAAAGGTGTGCTTCGACCTTGTTTTTATATGAAGAAAATTTTATTTTGTTATTGATTTGATTTCCGATAGCACTTCGTGTGCGTAAGCTTGAGTTTGGTGATAACATCGATTGCGTGAGATAAGATTCCCAAATTCTAAACCTTATACGATGATAGAATTTTTTAGTGTGATTATAAATTTTAGGCTTGCTATTCCATTTTGAGCTGTGTTTCCAGTTGAAATAATATAATTATTGGAAAATTCTATTTGTATATAATTATTGCATATAATGGTATCCATAATGTGATGTGACAATCATCCGATTGTTGATGTACAAGTATGAGATTTGAATTAAAGTTTGGATCCAGTACCACATGTAATTGTGGACACTATATACATGTAGCACTTTCCATTAGAGATGGCAACGGTTCGGTTTGGTTCGGGGTCGGTTCGGCCAAAACCATCACTGAACCACCAATTTTTTGACCATATCATAATCGCACCATAAGCACGAAAGTCGATTCGGTTCATATCTCGATTCGACTCGGTTCGGGTCGTTAATAACCACGAAGATAAATTATTTTTAATTGGTCCATCGATCGAATAAAAAGAAAAATGTATGAAAAAAGTCAATGAAAACAAAAACATGATACTAACTCATTGTAGCAAACAACATCTCAAATGAAAATGCAAAAAATATCTCAATTCTCAAATAAGTTTATATAGGCAGTAGATGATGCTTCTTTGTCTAGGTTATTTTTGGGCCTGAAATATTGAATCAATTACAGCACCACCGGAGTGTTCAATTGTAAAAATTGTAGACTTTTTATAGACCTCACGTAGTTCTTTTGGATGTTTATGTTTTCAGGCTTGAACTCAAGGACTTGACAGTCCCCTCAATCTCTCTTCATTCTGATCGTTTTCTTTATGAGGTCTCTGTTTGGATGACTTGAGCCTCGAGGAATATTATTGCTGTTAATGAAATGTCTGCGGAACGTAATATTTTGATGACACATAATTTTGATGTAAAATCGTATTTGTGAAAGTATTAAGCGCCTGAATGTTCGGATGCATTTTATTCGAGATAATATTTGAATAGAAACCATGTCTTGAGAAATATCATTTTGTATAATGAAAATTTATTGGATTGTGATGCCAAACAAGTCTCGTGGCAATCATGAGCCTTTCGGCGCTTGTTTGTCTCCCAATTTGGAAGAAAATATAGAGTTTTGAATAGTAGTTTTTGGAGAATGTGTGGTTGAAATTTTTTAAAAAAAATTATTGATTTGTATATAGAATATTTTATTGTGTAAATGTGTGATGAACAATGTTACTGTGGTGAACAATTTCTTTTGTTAAAGGATGACAAATATGGGCTTCGTTGCCTTTAGGCTGAAATCTCACAAGATCCGCCAAAATCATCATTATGTTTTCAACAGACATCTCTCATCTTTTAAGCACTCTCTCTTTCTAAAGGTGTGCTTCGACCTTGTTTTTATATGAAGAAAATTTTATTTTGTTATTGATTTGATTTCCGATAGCACTTCGTGTGCGTAAGCTTGAGTTTGGTGATAACATCGATTGCGTGAGATAAGATTCCCAAATTCTAAACCTTATACGATGATAGAATTTTTTAGTGTGATTATAAATTTTAGGCTTGCTATTCCATTTTGAGCTGTGTTTCCAGTTGAAATAATATAATTATTGGAAAATTCTATTTGTATATAATTATTGCATATAATGGTATCCATAATGTGATGTGACAATCATCCGATTGTTGATGTACAAGTATGAGATTTGAATTAAAGTTTGGATCCAGTACCACATGTAATTGTGGACACTATATACATGTAGCACTTTCCATTAGAGATGGCAACGGTTCGGTTTGGTTCGGGGTCGGTTCGGCCAAAACCATCACTGAACCACCAATTTTTTGACCATATCATAATCGCACCATAAGCACGAAAGTCGATTCGGTTCATATCTCGATTCGACTCGGTTCGGGTCGTTAATAACCACGAAGATAAATTATTTTTAATTGGTCCATCGATCGAATAAAAAGAAAAATGTATGAAAAAAGTCAATGAAAACAAAAACATGATACTAACTCATTGTAGCAAACAACATCTCAAATGAAAATGCAAAAAATATCTCAATTCTCAAATACAAAATCCAAATTTAACAAACAATATTCAATAACTCAAAAAACTCCAACCTCAATTCATATTCAATCTTTATTCTTCCCCACAACTCTTACTAGCATACATCAAAACTCAAAGTTGATTTCTATATAGCATATAAGAAATGTAAGTAGAGTAATAAATCAATAATCCATAATGTTCTTAACTGAAGATTTAAACAAAAAAATGTACCTCTTCGTCAACATCCTTGTCACCAAACTTTCGTTTCTGTAATTAAAGAATTCATTTTCTTGTTTATGTGTTGTTTAGGCCAAAAGTTATCAAAGAGGAGAGAAATTAAAGTCATTTATCTCTAAGCAGCCACCAACTGTAAAAAACTGAAAATTCTTAATATACTTTGGCCAAATCTTGTGTGAAATTCACAACAAATTCAAATAGTCAAATACAAATTATCAAAAGAGAAGATGAGAAGCACACCAGTGACAGAAGCTTGAAGGTCGAAGGAGAAGAAAATAATGCGGAGGCAGACGAGACGACAGTCGGCACTCGGCAAACCCAGAAGGCAAAAGCTGAGATTCCAATTTTCCAATAAAACGTTTGTGCCTTTGTTTTAGACTGTTAGAGTTCAGGGTTGGATACTTGGGTTTAAATTTAATTTGTGAATGGGCCAGAAATTTTGGACTAAAGAAATTAAGTAATTAACATAGAAAAAATCAAAAAATTATGGAAAGCCCAATTATTATTAATTTATTATTTTTTCTAACGATTAATTGATTCGGTTCGGGGCGATGTCGTAAATATCGTACCCATCCCGCTCCGAACCGGTTCATTAAAATCAAATATCATATTCGCCCCATTGCACCATCGATTTGGTTAATCGCGATTTTCGATTTTGACGATTCGACTTGCCATCCCTACTTTTCATAATTATAATCCTTTCTTTTTCTAATTACGTATTACAGGTTTAATAAATTCATTTTTATTGTTTTTGAAAAAAAAAAAAAAATCATTCTTACACAGAAAGGAGCCTTTTGATTTTCTTCTCTGTGCCCCATGCTGCTTTCTTCCTCTATTTTCACCTTTCACGTATCTTAATTTCTCTGCCTAGTAAAAAAATGGGGAGGTCTTCGGCGCGTAGATCTGAAGGCGGAGACAGTGATTCAAATAAAAAATGGCCCGTTTATGGAAAACGCAGAACATACACAAAGAGTGGAGATAGACCTAGCAAGAAAAATACGGGATCCTCTGTAGCTTTATCCGGGAATCCTCGATTCTCCACCCCCGTAGTCACCAGCTCCTCTACCGGCGCCGAACGCGCTACTACCTCTGCCGCTCTTCAATTAAAAGCACAACAAAGAATACCGGGAAGACAAGAAGAACCCATCCTAGTTAATGAATCTGCGGAAGGAACCGAAGAGGACTCGGAGGAAGAAAGTGAAGAGGAAACAGAGGAAGAAAGTGAAGAGCCTAAAGGAGAGTGTAGCCTTAAAAGACAGGTTTCTGTAATATTTCCCGACCTCGACTTTCTGGATTGCCCCATCTATCTTGAACCCCTTGGGCTTCCCGTCTTTCAGGTTTCTTCTTTTCTCTTTATCTTTCCATCTCTAAATGTGATGTATTTTTAGCTGTAACTTACGAATTAGCATCTTTTTCCATATTTCTTGATTTTATTTTAATTCAGTGCAAGAATGGGCATATAGCGTGCAAATCTTGCTGCACGAAGATGAGGAACAAATGTGGGAGTTGTTCTTTGCAGATCGGGCTCATTCGTTGCAGGGCCATCGAAACGGTGATTGAATCAATCAAAATCAAATGTCGAAATGGTTGCTACGGATGCCCGGAAACAATGCTTTACAATGAGAAACTTGGGCATGAGGAGGCATGCGATTATGTGCCTTGTTCATGTCCTCAACTTGATTGTGACTATGTTGGTCCACACATTGGATTGCTTAAGCACATTGAGGCAGAACATTCAGATTCTTGCGAGGAATTTACTTTCGGCTGTAGCATCGGGCTTTCTTTGAACACAAATCAAAAGCAAATCATTCTTCGTGAAACAAGTGAAGGTGTAGTTTTTGTCCTCAATCACTTCATTGAGGATCTTGGAAGTTTGATCAATGTTGTTTGTACGGGACTGACTTCAGAAAAGAGAAGATATTCTTATCTTCTCACATCAGAAGATGGAGAGAGCTCAATCAAATTAGAATCAGTTGCAGATAACGTCCCAAAATGGACTCTAAGCACTCCTCTGAAAAATTTTCTTTTGGTTCCGAAGAATTTTATTGCTTCCAATGAACAAATCAAACTGAATGTTACCATATACAGAAGCACCAATGATCCCCTGTAGTTGCATGTGGTTCGTGATGTGCTCCGTTAGTCTGTTTTGATGGATCGTCATGGTATCATTAACGGTTCATTATGCTTCCGTGTCTAGGTTGCAGTGTTGAAATTGTAAGGGATAGACCTCTTTTTACTTTGACATGGCTTAATGGCTACTGCACTTATTTTGTTACTTCTGCATATTAATGCTTCTAGGCTTCTTTCTTGCATTTTATGCTTGTTTGGATGATTTGGGAAATATTAATAGTGTTAATTAAATGTCTTTGATCTGATATAATATTTCCTGATAAATTTTCTAATTCGACATTGTAAGAACTATCTAACATGAACAAAGTAGTCCATTTTTATTCTCGCATCACTTATTTCCCTTTCCTTCAAGGCTTCACTAAAACATGTACAACCTCGATGCATTCTACAATAGACGAAAACATGATAAAATCAGTAAAATAATGGGTAAGATAACTCGTTTCTCCATCATTTCCTTGGATGAAATGGCTAAGATAACTTTGTAAAGACTCACCGGACCTGACTCATATAATGGATCCTTTCTGTCGGCGCTGATCTAGGCGTTCTTGCATTGATATATGGATGAATGGATTCCTAAAAATCAGGCCAACTGCCGATGCTGTCCTGGCTTTAGCTTGTTGCACTACTTTCTAGCGTGTTAATCGACGCTATTAAATACCCTAAATACAAGTCCTCTGCATTGTGCGTACGCCACACTAGTCATTCATAAAATAGTATAAACATACTAGATATATTAATTTTGTGCAGTTGACAAAATGAGGATGAATACCCTTGAATAATTTATTCGGGTATTGGTTGCACCAAACACTGGATAAGGATTAGATATTATAAATTAATGATTATTATATATAATACGGTAAGCCAAATGTGTCCGCAATGAATAAAATATTCTTTTGACAATGAAGCAAACTATATACAATACCTTTCACGATGACATAAGAATATTGTTTTTATTTTTTCCATTTTTCTTGATTTTACTCTTGTGCAAGACGTGCACATCTTGTTGCATGAGGATGAGGAACAAATGTGAATTGGTCTTTACGTTCAATGAAGACTAGAACAAAGAAGGGACACCTCGGACATACCCACTGAATGCTTGGGGAACCGAGTAACCAAAAGTAGCGTCAAAATCTCATGTAGAAATGAATGCTTCGGGTGCCTAGAGACAGTACTTTATGATAAGAAACTTGAGCATGAGACACGTGAATTATGTGCCTTGGGCTCGTTCGAGCCATTCCTTTATCTAATTATCTAATTCGTGTCCTCATCTTGTCGTGCGATTATGTTGGCTCACCCATTGGCTTGATTAAGCACATTGAGATAGAACATTCAGATTCTTCTCAGCAATTTACTTTCAGTTGTATCATCAGGCTTTCTTTGGACACAAATCAAAAGCAAATCATTCTTCGGGAAACAAATGAATATATGATTCTTGTCCTTAATCACTCAATCAACCCTCGTGGAAGTTTTAGTTAGTGTTGCTAGTACACGACGAACTTCAGAAAAGAAAAGAAGGTGGAGAGAGATCAACCAACCAGGAATCAGCTGCAGATAATGTACCAGACAGTTTCCATATGGAGGCCTCGATGATAGCCTATATTCGTATCTGGTTTTTGATATACTCCGCTAGTCTGTGATGATGGATCGTCATCATGGTATGGTTAATGGCTGAGTGTGCTTCTATGTCAAGTTTGTTTAGATTTTAATCCAGTGCAAGAATAGGCATGCAAACCTTGCTGCATGAAGATGAGGAACAAAGGTGGGAGCTTTTTTAGGACTGGAGAAAGAACAAATAAATATGGCACTTCGTCCAAAGTGTCTACCATGAATTTAGAAAATGCTTTTAGTACCGGAGAAAGAATTCTTGATCCCTTCCGTAGTTCTTTTACCGTGAGGATTGTGGAGGTTTTGGTATGTACTCAAAATTGGCTAAAAGAAACTCCAAGTATGGAGAGATTCTACATGGAAGATGTCGAAGAATACAACAAATTAGATAAAGATAATCAGAGTTTGAATGAAGTAGTACATAGTTCTCTCTCCCTTTCACTTGCTGCTGCTGACCCAATTAATTAAGCTTTTTTCATTTTTCATTTTTTTTTTCAGATTTTATTTTAAGAAATTAAGGATTGATTTGGAAGTCTTAAAATTTTAGTATTGAAATCAGTGGAAAAACATTTTTTAAGGAAACGACCAGACCTGACCTCTGCGGATTGGGTTAGGTAGGTTTCAAGTATCGAACCAGGTCGGTTCGATTTAAAAACTGTCCAAAAACGACCAAGTCGGTTGGGTCTGGTCGGATGATCACTTTGCATTTCTTAGCCGATGCACCTCAAGCCACCATGTTTTGAGTCTAAATAATTTATATGAAATTCATATGAATATACGATAGAAGCAGTGTATAAAAATTACCTTTGCGAATAATCGACTCCCTGTATGAAGAGGCTGTAAAAAGAGGAACATTCAGGTGAGAATTTGTACAAAACCAACGTTCTATGCAAAACCAACGAAGTGCTATGTGATGAATGTGCAAATCTTATAGTTATAGATGTTCCTTTACGACAAATGCTAAACAAGTGAAAGGATGGAACATTCTCATTTTTTGAACCTTAATGCCATCAATAATTTGAGCATATTAGAAATAATGGTAAAGAAAGAGATGCACTTTCTGAAAACAGGATCCAGAATTTTTTCCAGAAAAGATCCGTACCCTCTATATATGATTGCCCAGATCACAAGTGAATGGAAACTCAAGAGGTTAACTTGCTGGTTCTTGGAAAACAACATTAAAATCATTACTTCATGTAACTTTAGGAATTGTAAACCTAAGAGCAAATTTAATATTATTTGCATAAAATTGATACCGATGTTAACAATATCATCGTGAACTACTGTTCACAAGCTTGTGATTGGTTTTAAACTTCAGAGGATGAATTTTGGATATTAAAATGACATCAGTGCCTTCAAACATTAAGACCATAACCTCTATGGGCTATGTGAGTCTTTGAAAAAAGGGAATCCATCAATCCATATTATAACCAGGTCTAAAATAACACAAAATTATTCAACATAAAAGTCAAATCCAAAATTTTCATCACAAGGACGATTATACTGATCTCTGGTGCTATGATGAACACAACCATAAAAGTCTCTATTGTTTCACTTTCACTTCAAAGATTTACAGATAAAACTTATTCTAAAATCTAAGTGTCAATTTGACAAAAATATTGGACCATAAAACGATTTCTCAATAATTGAATGTTGACTATGAGCAGATATTCCGCTTTCGATGGACAAGATTCATCATGCACATGAGCATTTTCAGTTGAAAAAGTTATACCAATGCTGTCCAGATCTATTTGCAAAAACAAGCTTTTAGTTCTATGTATAAGTACTAAACTTTTCTAGCTAGAAGCATAAAATCTTAGTCTATGGGACCCACATATCATGATTAGCATTTCTGGTCATAGCAGATCAGCATTCATTTGCAGCATGTAGAGAAAATCAAACAGCAAATAGGTATAAAAAAACATACCTCTTCTTCACAGAGTTTGACAAAATGCTCTTCTTCTTGATCCCATTTTTAAGCAATGACCTGTCACAATATATTTAACATATACGTCGTGTTAATCTTATAAGGATGTTTTTTCATCACATATGAAAGCAATCAATTGGAATTTCACATGGTGAACAAGTGAAGAAACAAAGCTGTAAGAAAGCGATCAGTTTGGTGAACAAGTGGATAAAAGGGGTGCATCAGAGAAGCTGAAATAATCAACAAATTCTGTTACGAGTATGACTCAAATAGGAGTCTTTTGAAGAGGCGTATTCGACTTGGACCAGGAAAATATTAACCAAGGGTTTAAGAAAACTAAGTTGAATAAGGAAACAAAATTCTATTGAAATTGAGTCTCCTAATTGTAATACATTTTATTGCCTTTTATGTCTCTTCTAGGGTTGGCCTATAAATGCGAGGCTCATTTGGTCAGTTTGTAAGAGTAACATGGAAGCAGTATTGCTAGTCTGTCTTATATTCTCCATACTATTAAATTAATAAACATCGTTTCTCTACGTTTACCCTTTGTGTTCTTTCTTTACAAATTCAATCTTGTGTTTTCGTGGTGTGATCTAGTATACTTCAATATTGTCATTAAATCTTGTTCTTTATAATCCGGTTTGAAATCAACGTGTGTTATTGGAGCTTCTACACCCAACAAATTCAACTGACTCAACAAAGCTTTGTATGCATAAATCCTTAATAGCAGTAACTTATAAGGTAAACATCAAACTGCCTTCATCTAATTCATTTCTTGTATTATTTTTCTCTGAAAAAGAGAACTTAAGTAAGATTATTTCTTTGATGCCATGCTAAGAGTATCCAAATTGAATAGTCATTATGAACAATTTCATCATCCCTGCAAATTGCTTCGACAGCAGAGGAAACGATTTGAGGACAGACGACCTACTTTTGTATTGCATTAACACGTCTGGAAGGTTATCTTCAAATGGGTATATAGCATTGACACAAAAACTTCAAGGAGATAATAGAATCGGCAGGAAAGAGAAAAATGTCTGACAGAAAACTAGAAGACAGATTTGATGTGCAAAACAAGAGAGAAATCATACTACAAACTGTGATACCTTTGAAGAACAACATTAGAAACATAGGAGGTTAATGAAAAAAGCTGTGATACCTGTGAGAATAAAGAAACTGATAATTGGGGAAAACTCATTGCCTTCCCTACCGAAGCACGTGCACATTATCAATTAGTAACTCCACATTTATCAAAAACAACGGTTTAATCCTAAAACATATAGTTGATTCCGGCGGGAGGCTTTCCAATTATATGAATATAATTCTCCCATATAAAAAGTACGGAGTATAAACGTACCAGATATATTAATTTTATACAGTAGACAAAATGAGGATGAATACCCTTAAATAATTTATTCGGGTATTGGTTGCACCGAACACTGGATAATGATTAGATATTATAAATTAATGATTATTAGATCTAATACGGTAAGCCAGATGTGTCTACAATGAATAAAACATTCTTTCCACAGTGAAGCAAACTATATACAATACCTTTCACGATGACATAAGAAAATTGTTTTTATTTTTTCCCTTTTTCTTTATTTTAATCGTGCAAGACGCACATCTTGTTGCACGAGGATGAGGACGAGGAACAAATGTGAATTGGTCTTTCCACATTGGATATGTTCAGTGAAGACCAGAACAAAAGAAATGACACTCTGGACATACCCACTGAACACTTGGGGAACCGACTAACAAAAAGTAGCATCAAAATCTTGTGTAGAAATGAATGCTATGGGAGCGTAGAGACAGTACTTTATGATAAGAAACTTAAGCAGGGTACACATGAATTATGTGCCTTGTTCATGTCCTCATCTAGTCTGTAATGATGGATCGTCATCATGGTATTGTTAATGGCTGTGTGCGCTTCTATGTCGAGGTAGTTTTGATTTTAATTCATATTTCTTGATTTTAATCCAGTGCAAGAATGGGCATATAGCGTGCAAACCTCGCTGCACGAAGATGAGGAACAAATGTGGGAGTTTTTTTAGTACCGGAGAAAAAACAAATAAATATGGCACTTTGTCCAAAGTGTCTATCGTGATTTCAAATAGTACTTTTAGTACCAGAGAAAGAATTCTTGATTCCTTCCATAGTCCTTTAACCCCCGAGGATAGTGGAGGTTTTGGTATGTACTCAAAATTGGCTAAAAGAAACTCGAAGCATGGAGAGATTTTACATGGAAGACGTCGAAAAATATAACTAATTAGATGAAGATAATCTGAGTTTGAATGAAGTAGTACATAGTTTTCTCTCCCTTTCACTTTCTGCTGGTGAAGTGCTCAATAGGCCTTCGTGCATTTCAAACAGATTTTTGTTATTATGCATTTTCCTTGAATCACTGGCCATTTCTTTATTATAATTCTTTTATTGGATGACTGTATATTTTTGTTAAATTACCTACTTTCGGTTAAATTGTTTAGTGGATTATGAAAATGACAAAATATTTCAAACAGGAGTAGAAAATCTTATGACAATTGTAACTTAGCTCTTTCTACTTTTATTTTAAGAAACCAAGGAAATATGATATTTTTAAAATTATTGAAATCAGCCAAAAAATAAAGGAAAGAAACTGCTGACCCAATTAATCAAGCTTTTTTTTTTTTTTCTGATTTTGTTTTAAGAAATTAAGGATTGATTTGGAAGTCTTAAAATTTTAGTATTGAAATCAATGGAAAAACATTTTTTTTTTCAAGGAAATGCCCCGCCCCGCCCCGACCTGTGTGTTTTGGATTGGGTTAGTTTCAAGCATCAAACCAGTCGGTTCGATTTAAAAACTGTCCAAAATGCAAAATTGATGTAATCAATGAATATGAATTGCACTAGGATCACAAATCCCCAAGTAATGTTCACTTTCAACCCTAGTTTCACAAATTGACAAAAGGTTGAAATTTTGAAGAATTAATGCTCCTAAATTTATCCAACAATCTCTCTCGAGTAAAGTTGAACATATTCCCATATACCATCATCCTATATCTCTATGACAGGTGCAAATATGTAAGAATGCATGTGATTCTTTAAAGATTCACATAAAGCATAACAATAAATCTTTATTCCTTATCGGACCCTATGATGATTTATACCCCATCGAACTCATTTCCTCTCTCTTGAATGCATGAAACAAGTCACCTTACTCACACAATTATGTGCACATAATTATGGAATCAATTAATTGTATATAAATCATTCAAACAAATTCATACATGTTTTGATGTCAATATTGTAAAACAAGAAATCAAAACTTCACATTACAAGATTTATAGATCTTCTAGTACATGAAAACCTAGCCTAGCATGGAGAAAATAACAAAATACACAATAACTCTAAGAACCGACATCACCGTTGTAGGATTTGTTGTGTAATCTCGTTGATCTTCGCATTTCTCTTTGTGATTGTGGTCTAAAATCTTGTCCAATATGTGATTTTTCTCTCCCAAGGTTTTCTCCCTCGAATATGACGGCTTTTGGGTTTTTACATCACATCCCAATTAGGTTACCATAAGAGTTTACATCAGAAAAGGAAACTGAAAATCGTGCTGTGAATTTGTACCATGCAATCGCATGGTATTATGTGATGACCTCATCTATTTTTTTGATTACCACCATGCGACTACATGTTGGTTTATACCATGCGACTGCATGGTATAAGTTTTCTTCCCAGTAGTGACATTTTGGTCCCCGAACTTCAAATTTCTTGCATTTTGACTTCTTTTCTCATTGTTCTTCTCCCAATATTTCAAATCTTCAACAAACTGGTCCATGATTCTTTAACACCTTCGTCTATGCTTTCGGTTCATCTTTTGGCTATTTACATTTTAGTCTCTGAACTTTCATTCTTTTCCGTCCTAGTCCTTTTTCTTCATTTTCTTCCTTCTATCATCCCATATTATCACCAAGTTGATACTTGGCTCGTGTACATTCTCGATTCGTCTTTCAAGTCATGTTTTGCATATATGCACTTTGGTCTATGAACTTTCGTTTTCTTTCGTTCTGGCCCCATTTTAGCATCTTTTCTCTTAAATTCCACCATATCCATCAATATGGTCCTACAAAATAAAATTACATAGAATTAAGTCATATTCAATCAATTTTATCAACAATTAGTTATGTTTTGTGGATCGAATGTGTAAAAACGCACTTATCACATAACTTCTATGGGCTATGTGAATCTTTAAATAAAAGGGAATCCATCAATCCATATTATAACCAGGTCTAAAATAGCACAAAATTATTCAACATAAAAGTCAAATCCAAAATTTTCATCACAAGGACGATGATATCGATCTCGGGTGCCATAATGAACACAACCATAAAAGTCTCTATTGTAGATTTACATATAAAACTTATTCTAAGATCTACGTGTCGATTTCCCAAAAATATTAGACCATAAAACGGTTTCTCAATTATTGAATGTTGACTATGAGCAGATATTCCATATTCGATGGACAAGATTCATCATACACTAGCATTTTCAGATGAAAAAAGTCGTACCAATGCTGTCCAGATCCATTTGCATAAACTTAGTTAATAGAATACAATTCTGACAGTGAGGATAGTATGGATTTTATCCCCTTCTATTGGATAAGTATATCCTGAAAAATCTAATCCATATATGTTTGTACTCACAGCCTCCGTGCAGCCCAACAAGAGGCCAATTAAAAGCTTCCACTGTAGAAATGCTTCAAGCGATTGACCCATCTGCAAAAATTTGTGCATAAATCAAAAATATAAATTGCTAGATTCCATAATCTCCATATGAATATATGCAGCTGTGCACTTATAATAACATATGGGTGCCCTTATGGATGAGAAAAACAGAGAGCTTATTCGTACCAGAAATGCAACGAATGTAAATTGTCACTCTCCAAGAAGTGAATCTTCATCACCTTCATATGCTTCTGTCAATACACTTTCCAATAGCTGCGTCTGAAAAAATAAGCATAATTTCTCTAAATCAACGTATCTGTCAAACACAAACACTCCAAAATAAAGAAGATTTTAACCTATAAACCTTGGAATCAAATACCTTATCGATATTCATACTAGTAAGATCTTCGCTATGCATTCCCTTATGCTTGACAACATGGGGAGTAGAAGTGACAACCTCTTGTTTGAGATTTTTTTTTATTGGCTTCGAAAACTTGGTATTCTCCTATTCAATCAAAGCTTTCTCCATTGCTGTTTTAGGAATACTTCCAACCATCTCAGATTCACGAGCAATTGAGATTTCACCTCCAACAGGTTCTGCAAATTCATCAAATAGCTATAAATGACGAAGGAAAAATTAAGCAACAAATATCTTAAAAGGGGGCCATAACTCATTTTAATAAATTTTAAGAAAAATCAGCACTCCCCTCCGAAAAAAATAAAAAATAAAAATAAATAAGACGCATTTGGTTTCTTCTTAGGCTTACTTCCATTATGCGTCATTTGGCATATTCTCAATCCAAATCGATCACTTTCGACAAATAGAGACATAAATGCAGATGTATTATAATTGTTTCTCCATGTAAGAGCATACATATCCAATATCCATGCTGAAAATTGAAAACATATAAACTGTAATAAATTTGTTTATGGAGACCATTTTCGCCAAATAAATATCAGCTTGTCTCAAAATAGGATTATGCTTATTGGTGAACCTCATTTGTGGTTTCTTATGATGCCACCATGGAGATAAGTTTCAAACAACTTTACGCTCAAAGGACAGGTGACAATTAGCTCCTGAAATATCCACTGATATCGATGGTACAATGAAAATGCCCAAAAATATTATGCTGAAATTATCTTATTTACTTGATTTCTAGTAGTTAATTTTGAAACCTGCTAACTCATTCATTCCAATTGATTAAGTTTACAATATTTGGCACCTCACCATGACACTATCCCAACTACTTGAACAGCTCTGATTAAGTAAGATGGGAAATTTGAGGTTAGAAAGGATTTATGGAACAACTTCGGGATAAATTGTCGGCTCCTATCAACAAGAACAACTTAAATTAATAAATAGTACCAGTGAACAATAAAAACAGATATGCCATTAAATAACAATAAATTGCAGATAAAATAAAGGGAAAAACCCTGCCACTCCTTTTCTTATCGATGTTCATCAGTACACTCTCGTTGGCATCGACACCCAGGCATGTATATAATTATAACAGCCCCTCGGGGCATAGCCTAGTAGTGTAAAGGACAGGAATGAGATTATCTCACGCCTTGCTGACAGCTGCAGTGTGGGGGTTCGATTCCTGAAACATGGAATTGGACTCCTTATAGGCGCAGTGTACAGACATCTCTTGTTTTCTAGTCTGTTAGGACACATCCCGCGATTTACCTCCCTCACAAAGCTCTAGGGACGGAGCTGTGGGGGCCCTCAAGGTTGGAGTTCAACCTTTTTTTTTTAATTATAACAATTTCATATTTTTAATTTTGAAAATTGGGGAGCCAATTCCACAATGTATAAGAAGGCTGAAGAGTCCAACCTAAATTTCCCTTATTTTCAATACATATATGTTGACCCCCAAAAAGTGTTGTCAATAGATGTCGGACCCACCCCCACACACGTGAGCGAAAGTCCAACACTCTAAGACACGTGGATGGTCTAAAACGGATGGATCGAGGGCGTGGGAGTAGCTCAACGGCGAGAGACAAGAACGTTCGGAATCCGACGGGATGTTCGTAGACCGATTGTACAATAATTACCAATCAATATTTGTAAACGTATATCTAAATATGTATGAACTCGTTTGTGTTACAAGATAATAAGAAAGAGAGAGTTGAGTAAAATATGGTTTCTTGTATTGATTCTTGCATTTAGCTTTTGTATGGGGTATATGGGGGAGTATTTATAGTGTCACAAATTAGATCGTGACCTTTGGTTCGGGGTACACGTGGCCTCATCCAGTTAATTTACATGTCAAATCGTAGGCATTAACCGCACCTAGCCTGCCATACATTTATTGATTGGTCGAGCCGCCTCTACTAGTGACAAGACTTAACATTTACACTCATGACAAACGTCCTATCAATCATTCAAGTAAGATCTTTGTGCAGAGGATCTCTTGGGAGAAGTGTCTATGGAGGATGCTACTTTATGATTCAGAGGCTGCTACCTCGGCTACAGGGCTTCGGCCAACAGGGCCTCGTCTACCTTCAAAGGGCCTCGGCATGTGGGTTTCAGAAGCTCCTCAAAAGGCAATGATAGGTGGGCCTCGGTATATATGGGCCTAGGCTTTTGTGGACCTCGTTTTTTTGTAGGCCTCGGCTATGCAAATCACCTTAGTTTCAGTGCTAGGTGGTTCGACATGAGTTGACTGTAGGTCCCGGTTGGTTGCTCAAGTGTACAAACATGTAAGAGTAGTCCCCCAAGTCCAAATATAGTCATTTATGTAATGCGAGGATTTTGATGAAGTAAAGCCAGTCAGTTAAGTTGAAAGAAATTTTAGAAATTTTTGTACCCCAAATAATAGTCCTCCAAGTCCAAGTATAGATATTTATATCATGGTTAGAATTAGAAATGTGCTGTTTTGGAAGAATGATGAAAATGATGAAGCTGAGGTGGTCTGAGAACTGAACCTACGAGGCATGTGGAGGCTAAATCTGATAAGAAAGCTGAAGTGGGTAAGAACCGAACCTGTGAGGCTTGATGGCTGAATTATGATGAGGAGATGAGGTGGGTGAGAACCAAACCTATAAGGCTTGATGGCTGAATTGTGATGAGGAAGCCGAGGTTGATGAGAACTGAACCTGCGAGGCTTGTGGAGGCTGAAATCTGAGGCTCATTAATAATGATTGTTCCTCGGCAGTTGTGCCAATGATTTGATGTTTTATGCATATTTTCGAAGTAAGGTGGCTGGACCGTTCAACTTCCAAGGCGTCTGCTGCCGTCGAACTAAAGTCGTAATTATGAGCACAGCTGGAGCTTCTAGAAGCAGACGCATTTGGGGAGGTGCGTGGAGGACAAGCTTGAATCTGATGCGTAAGTTTGAAAAATCGTTTGAATTCTACGCCTCGAATTTGGTTTAGAATGAAGGGTCCAGATTCAATGGGCTTTGATCAGACGGCTGGGGTTCGTCCTGGGCTTTTATAAAAGGCTAGAGACCCCAATTTTTCTGGATTTTCAACCTTTGCAATCTTACTTCTTCTTAAAAACTCAAGTTTTCCAGCGTTCAAATAGTCAATCTTCTCGTTTTCGGCATTACTTCGTTCGCGTAGTCATTTTCCATAGGTATTTTCACAGAAAATCCCTTGCATTGAGTTCATTCTTTTCTGATATTGAGTCCACCTCAGGTAGGGAATTAGTAACTGTTGCGTCATTCGACGAGGGGACGAGTTACAGAGGGGACCCCGAGGTCGAGCAATATGCTATGACCGAGGAACCAGTAGATTACAGTGAGGAGTGGGAGGCGTCCAGAGTGCCTTCAAATATGACCTTGAAGAGGCTGGGGGAGATTAGGGAGAGGTACTGTGTACCTCATTATGTCGAAATGTTGGTGCCCGAGGCTCATGAGCGCCCTGTTTTGAGTCCACCTCAGGTAGGGAATTAGTAACTGTTGCGTCATTCGACGAGGGGACGAGTTACAGAGGGGACCCCGAGGTCGAGCAATATGCTATGACCGAGGAACCAGTAGATTACAGTGAGGAGTGGGAGGCGTCCAGAGTGCCTTCAAATATGACCTTGAAGAGGCTGGGGGAGATTAGGGAGAGGTACTGTGTACCTCATTATGTCGAAATGTTGGTGCCCGAGGCTCATGAGCGCGCCTGTTATCCGAGGTCCGGATGCGTGGCGGTGAGTGAATACCTGTTTAAGGCAGGTATACGTCTTTCTCTGTACTCCTTCTTTAGGACGGTGCTGAGAAACTTTATGTTGTCGTCGACCCAGGTTCTGCCAAATGGGTGGAGCCAGTTGGTTGTCTCGTACTTCCTGTGGAAGGAAATGTCATCTGGGGAGGACATGCCTCTCCACGTCTTCATGACCCTGTTCCAGCTTAGGGTGATAGGTAAGGAGTCAAAGGGGTGTTATTACTTAACTCCTTGGGGGGGCTCACGTACCATTTGTGGTGGGGCTGCCTTTTTCCATCAAGGGGTGGAAGGAATCGTGGTTCTTGGTGAGGGGTAGGTGGCAGGCAGTGGAGGGGGACACATCCTTGGCTTGCACAGTACCAACCCAGTACTACGAAACTTGTGAGTTTCCACGCCTAAGTAGTTTACATTCTGTATTCAAAATTTTCTTTTTCTAACTGTTGAGGCTTGCTGTGCAGATAGTAGTACGAGGTTCGAGTTGAGCAAGGAGGAGTTTAAAGTGATAGAGGACATTTACAAGAGACCTCTGAAACTTCAGCACTTCGACCACCTCATCGACCGAAGTTGCTACTTCATTGACTTTGAATTGATGGCCTCCAAAGGTAAGAAACTTGTATACTTGTGCATTTCTTACCTTTTTTGTTGATGCTAATGTACTGACATGCTTTGCAGACAAGTTCAAGAGGAGGGAGTACCCAGCCCCAGAAATGGCCTCTATCCTTAGGGCCACATTTAATGTGACCGCGAGGCCCCTAAAGCCGGGGTCAAGTGGTGCAAAGGAGGTTTGGGAGAGGGTGGAACGCCTCTCCAAAGATAGTAGTTCTAGGGCTGCTGAGGAGGGGACCTTCCAGAGGCCGGAGAAGGCTAAAGAGCCTTGGGGAAAGGAGAAGGTCCCTCAGGAGCAGAAGAAGAGGAAGCTGGTGCACGTCACCGACTCATTTGGGAAGTTCGGGACCTCTGTGTCCTACGAAGGGAAAAAACCCCTCAGCCGAAGCTCCTGGAGGCCGCCTCAAAAGCGATAAAGGTTGAAATGGTGTGGCATGCCAAGGCTAAGGAAATTGCTGTGAGGAGGGCGGCTGAGAAGGCAGAGGCCCGCAAGAGTCCAAGGGAAACCTCCGAACTTCCTTACTGGGAGGGAGGAGGTCCTGACCCCGACGTTGGTGGAGGCTCTGCCAGCCGAGATCCGAAGAGCTACGGAGAGCTTTTACAAATTCTAGACGGACCGGTGGCAGTTGCACGCCTTTTTCTGCGATGCGTTGGACTTGACAAGGGCCCTTGTGAGTCAAAGTGTGAAAAGCTTTGGCCTCGCATTGGAGTGTAGGGAGGCCCTTACTGATTTTCAGATGAGGGCCTAATCTTCGGAGAAGAAGGTGACCTCCCTCGCAAAGGAGCTGAAGAAGGCCAGGGTCGAGGCAGAGGAAGCGAAAGCTCAAAAAATTGAAGATGCGACCAAGATGGAGTCTTCTTTGTCTCAGATCGAGGCCTTGAAAAAGGAGGTCTATGAGTCCCAGTGCGAGGTGGCTTCCCTTACCAAGAAAGTGGAGGTCTCCAATGACTAACAAAAGGTGACTACTGAGGCCTTAGAGAAGGCCAATTTGCAGCTGGCTGGGGCCAAGACGCCTACAAATTCTTGGAGGGCTAAATAAAGTGGTATGTAGATGAATTGGCCAAGGTAAAAGAGGAGGCCAATGTGGCAAGAGAGGAGACAGTCAAAGACTACATTGCCAACTTCTACAACACTAAGGAGTACAAGAGCTTCAGCCTATTGGAGGAATTATGCTTATGCCGAAATGATGGAGAGGGCTGAGGAACTCTACTCAAATCAAGATCTGTCACAGCTAAGGT